TGTTATGAAAATATGTTGTATTTCAGAAGCCTGCCCCACTGCACATTGTTTTTAAAATTTGTGAAGTTAACCTATAAATTAAAAACATATAAAAATTTATAGTAGTTTAAATATAACAAAGTATGTAGTCAACTATTGGATTTGGCAGCATTCAACTCTAGCTAATGCAGGCAAATAAAGGGCCTTTATTGGCAGACATAAATTGTGGAAAGAACAGGGGTTGTGCAGTTCTCTTGGAATCTGGATATGGAACTCACATGTGGATCAGATGAGTGGTTTCCTCCCTTCCTCCTCTCCCTTTTTCTTCTCCTTTTCTATCTCTAGTGTCTGCTTCTTTCCTGTTGCTTTCTTTGTGACGCCAAAACTCTTATGTTGGGATTAAAGACAGAGAAAAGTTTATTTATTTATATTTATTTATTTATTTATTTTTGTCTTTTTGAGACAGAGTCTTGCTGTGCAGTTCAGGCCAGCCATGAGCTCACTTTCTAGCCCAGGCTGGTCTTGAACTCACAACCATCCTCCTGCCTCAGCCTCCTGAGTGCTGGGATTACAGGTGTGCACCACCACACCCGGCTGTGAAAAGTTTAAAGAATGGTTTGGATCTGGTTTGCATACCTCTCCTTGGGCAAGAGAGATAAGGTCCCATGGCTCAGCCAGGTTGAATGCTTATTTCTGTAGGGTAGTGGTGGGGAGGAGGCTAAGTGTGAGATCAGAAATGGGGAGGCAGTCTTTTGGGGAAATAATAGTAGTAACTATGCAAGGGAAGGGGATCTTAATTATTGAAGATATCGCGTAGTGAATGCCACTTAATTTTCTTTCGCATGGCTTAAAGCCAGAGATCTGTTTTCCATTTGGGGCTTTCTAATTTTTTTCTTAAGATTTTTTTATTAATATTTTGACATTTTCATTTCAGTAGTTTGGATTTTTTTGTTTATAATGAATATTTGCCTTTAAAAACATATAATTATTATGTAATATATGTTTTTTTCTATTTATACCCAATCTTGAGAATTATCTGTTGTGTGTCATCTTAAGAGGAAACAGGACACCATAGGTGGCCATTTGGAAAAATGCTGTCAAAATTTGAACTGCAACGAAAGTGACTGAGGTGGCTTGTTCGTGGTGTATTGGAAAGACGTAGTGGTTCTTGTTGCATGTCTTTGCCTGTGATTCCTGTCAATTACTGAACCCTGGTTCTAGCTGTCTAGTTCTTCTTTGATTCAGTGGGTTCTTATGTCCTTACAAGATAATCCTTTTTTGTTAGTAATGACCAGCATCCATTTTCAGTGCTCATAAGCAGGAAACTTGACTTCAGAATGTTGGTATAAGAAACCCCTGCCAGTCTCAAGAGACTTGTTCTAGGAACCTGTGACGGTAGAGAAATCCGGACTACAGCTTCTCTTGCTTGCCACGTTACATTGCTTTCCCACTAACACCAAATGAAGGCAAGAGCCTTCACTGCCCAGTATGGTAACACTAGTCACATGTAGCAATTTAAATCTAGATTTAAGTAATTAAATTTTAAGAATTGAAAATTCAGTTGCTCAGTCACACTAGCCACATTTTAAATGTGCAGTAGCAACATGTAGCTAGTGTCTATCGTGTTGGCAGGTTCAGTTTGTAAAACATTTCCATCATCAGAGAAAGCTCTATCCTATAGCACTGTGGACGGTTAAGGGTAGGAATTCTGCCTGTTATTTTTCAGTGTATCTGTAACACTTAGAACCAGGCTCAGCATTTATGGGCACTCAGTAAGTAGCCATTGAATGTTGCAGTGGCTCGTCCATAGTGCGCCATGGGTATCAGAGTTGACTGCATTACACTTTCAAGGGAACTTGGAACAGCTCCAACTTAATGTTATTCCACAACTGCCATTTACATTTTTACCCAGCTATAGTCTCTGTTGTATCTTGGCCCTCCATTCTGTGGAGGCCCTTATATTTATACTGCTAAAATTACTTTTAAAGTATAAAGTACTTATTTATAATTTCTTTTCCTCCAGTTTACTTATCCTTCACTTTCTGATTTTTCCCTACCCCCATCTATTCATTAAAATTCTCCTTTTAATAACAGTTTTTGCTATAACCTTTGAAATCCCTGTTCTGTTGCCAAGAAATGTTTTGCAGGATTTTTCATGCTCCCTCCTGATGTCATATAACCTGGCAACCCTCTCATGTGGAGATTATCTTTTCTTCCTTTGTCTTGTGACAAGGGACCAACACAGAAAATCCCCATTTGTAAACGCTGACTTGATGTCACACGATTGTTTGACTACCTCAGTTCAAATGATTTTTCCTTTGATACTTGTTGCATCTAGTTTACCCCTGTCTTTTTTCTTCTCCAGTTACTGATATACCGGATGTCCCTCAGTCACTTGAGGTCTTTCATACCTGGCTCCATGTTTCTGTGTTTTCTGTGCCTGGCCATCATTTTAAAGTGACCGCACCTCCGTATTGTTGAGCAGTTCAGCACCTTTAGCCTTGTAGTTTATCCTGTTCACACTCCGGTGCTCTTTACCTTTATTCCACTTGATCATCTCATACCCACAGCCACATCCTGCACCTTGTCGTCTCCTAAAACCACTCATTTTAAGGATCTGAATATCTCCATAATCTCCTACTATTCTGTACCCTAATCCCTTTTTATTCTCTTTCTTTTCCTATTACAGTAAAAACGCTTTCCCCATTTATTTCCTCTGTTACCTGTAGGATTTTATGTCATTATTTACATTCTTCACCTTCAGTGTATCGTTCTCTATCTCAGATTTTATGTTCACAATCTAGTTCAAACTGTATCTCTCTTGTGTAATCTTAACTGGTCCCCTAATGAAAATTAATTGTACTTTTTATTATACTTGTTTTTACAGTACTGGGATTTGCACCTGTGGCCTTAGCACTGAGCTAGATCCCTATCCCTTTTTAAGTTTCTTATTGTTGAGACAGGGTCTAACTGAATTGTTTAATTGCCCAGGCTAGGCTTGAACTTGTGATCCTCCTGCCTCAGCCTCTCAGAGTTCTGCGATTACAAGTGTGTACCACTATGCTGGGCTTTTTTTCCTCTACTTTGTACTTCTAATATAAACCTTATTTTCTTTTGACTTGTGACACGCCTTAAATATTAAAAACCTTATCAGAAGAGATATTATACTTTAATTCCTAAATCTGTAATGCTGTCTTTTGAAACACTATCTACTTTTCTTGAACTCTTTTGTAATTGATATTTAAAATAATTGGTGTTATCCCTAAACCCAGATAATATCTATTAAAATTAATTTTATTTATGTTAAAGTCCATTATCCCTTAAAATCTTATGTAATATCTTCAATCATGAAGTAATTTTCTCTTTTTAAAAATCTGATAGCAGTTTTCGATTCTAACCCTGTAGCATATCAGCAAAGTGAACTGAAGAAGAGCCTGTGCTGTATCGCATCTCCCACAGCCAGCCGTGACGGTGCTCCTCTTCCCTCACACATCACTGGGGTTCAGATGCTCCTCACTACTCATTCATTTCTCTGGCTTCAGCGTTGTACGCAGGGCATCATTTTATCTTCACTGTAGACTTCCACTGAAGCAGACTGGCCATGAATGCTTTCTTATTGAGTCTTGTTCCTTCTTGATCATCCAGGTACTATATATCCGCATTCTTTATCAGAGCTAGGATGTTTTTAGAGCCTTCATTTTCTAACTCTGACTCTAGGCTAGGACCCACAGTGTTCTCTTTTCTATATACATTGTTACGCTTTTGTAGAAATAAACCTTTATTAATTCAGTAACCCAAAAGCACCAAATTAATAATATCCATAAATATTTATGGAGGAAATGCACAACAAGCTTGAAAGAGTACTAGTAATCTAGCTAGACATATGAAGTAAGAATTTGACTGCTACCCGCAAGACTGCCCTCTTCCTTTAGTGCTGTTGCTTCTGGCATTTATTTGTAATCATCTCAAGCAATGGGTCATATTACCTATTCTGCTTACACATGCAGTGTCTGATACAGGGTTTAGGTTCATTCAGTTCATCCACAGATATTTATTGAATTCTTGTACTTACAGCATAGCTATAGGCACATCCTAATTGGGTACATAGGGCATACTAATAAAAATAACAAGTGCCAAGTAAATTATATTTAAGTGCTTAAAGAATTTTCAAGAGAAGATTGAGGGCCTATCCTGGTAACCCTAATTAATACAAAGTCTTCTCTGTCTGATGAGTCATTTCCTCCCCAGAGATGTTCTGTGTGATTGTGTGTGTATGTTTCCAGTAGTAAGGATTGAGCCCTAGAGCCTTTGCACTGAGCTACTACTTCTCCGAGACAGGATCTCACTGAGTCACCAAGTTGCCTAGGCTGGACTGGAAATTGCAGTCTTCCTGCCTCAGCCTCCCAGGGAGAGCTACTTTGCATGTTAAGGCTGTGGCTGAGCATGTATCATTTCTTTAGAAGAGAGTGCAAACTGTGTTCTCTTCAAATTTTTATCTCAGGGATTAAAAGCTCATAAGGCATTTTATAGAATACGGTATGTTGTCCTGAAGAGACAGTTTTCTTTGAAATCTGTAGCCTCTAAAGAGTGAAAGTGAAATAGCAGCATGTCTTATAGCATTTTATAGATTGTAAAATGTTTAAGTGGTATGGGTATGAGGTGCCTTCTCCTAAACTGAACTGCCTTCTGATGCCTTAGGAACACACTTCTGTACTGTTCTGTTGATGGCCAGTTGTTCTGATCCCTGTGTTGGTTAAAATCTTACTCAGTTTTGTCTCCTGTACTCCTGGGCAGATATGCTGTCTCATCCTTCTGCTGTTCACAGTTTCCTGTTGTAGAAGTCATTCGTGTTTCATCATAGTTATGCAGTTATATGCCAACACAGCCTCCGTCTTCACGATTGGGTCTGCCAGTTTGCATAGCACAGGGCCTGGTGTCAGCCAGTCGGTGGAATGATTGAATAATTCAGTAAAACGTGAGCTATGGATTTGTAATACATTTTGTTGAATTATGGTTTTTAGGCTAAAACTTCAACAACAGATTGTGAATACTGAAAATGCAGAGAAAGAAAGAAATGAAAATTCTGATCTGAAACAGGTATGATTTTAGGAGACATTTTGTTTGTAGTTTAAGTGCTTCTTTAAATTTGTGTTTTGTATAGTTTGAATTTTTCTTACCAGTGTTACAATAATCTCATCACCACGGTCAATAACATAGATGAGACTGATATGTAAAGATGAAATGTTTCAACCTTACTGCTTTGATTTAGTAAGCTTCTTTTGCTAACTGCTGTTTTTATTGAAATATTTATATGCTGTAGCCCGTGCAATGTTTTAAAAAGTATAGTTAAAAGACCGCACTTAGGCCAGGGGTGGTAATGCACACCTGTAATCTCAGCCTTCCAGAGGCTGGAGCAGGAGGAGGTTGGCTAAGAGTGCAAGGCCAGCAAGAACTGGATAGTGAGACCCTGTCTCAAAAACCAAAACCAGAACCAACCGAGCAAAAAAAAAAACCCAGGAAACAAAGTTTAGTATTCTAAATTTTAAAAATTAGTTAGAAATACTAGGTTTGAAGGTTACTTGAATAATTTGCTTGTAACTTTATATTTTCCAGGAAGTATTTCTTGCTATGTCCCTATGTCTAAGAGTTGTATTTATAGAAAGAAATTTATGTTATTTAAAGTAATTTGGGTTCAGGGAAAATTTATATAAGGTTGAGCAAAATATAGAAAATGTTCTTTTCTGAATTCTATGTCCTTTTTCTGGGGTAAATACATTTTCCCCCTGAGTCTTAACCAGCAGAACATAATGTCTGATTCTCTGAGAAAGAAGTTACCTAGTATCCTTGGCATCCGATGGATATGGACAGGTGGTGGGCTCTTTGAAGGCTGCTTATTCAGGCAATTGTAATACAGATTTAATGTTTGCTATTCCAGTTAAAAATAAATAATACTTTTGCATGAAGAAGTTAATTCTAAAATACAAATTTGAGATGTACAGTTTTACTTTATTTTGCTAACAATTGTTTTATGGATATACATGTAGTTCTGTTTTATTTAGCTTTGTTGCCATGAGAAAAATAATATGATTACTTCCCCTTTAATTTATTGTGTAAAGACTCTTGTTACTTTTAGCACTTGAATCTCATGATAGGTTCTTTTCATCTCTGGCTCTTGATTCTTTTTGCTCAGAAATGTTTCAGAATGGCTAAAAGAGGGAAAGAAGAAGGAGAACTTTTGTTATTTATTAATTGATGAAAGTAACTAGTTGGGCAAATTGATGTAACTATCCTCAATGAAGACTATTTAGATATAACAGAAATAGTGTGAATTGTTCTCACCTATTAATCTGCAACTACATAATTACCTACTTTGGATAAGAAAAAGTACTCCCAGATGAAGGAAGATTGGGATAAAGCCCTTGAGGGATTTTGTGGGGTTTGATATATGCCGCTAGCAGCCAAGGAATCTCTAGCATCCATTAGATTTCTCAAAGCACCTTTCTTCTGCCCACCAACACTGGACATACAGGATGCCTTTTAAAGTCAAGAGGAGCATGATCCTTCCTGTGTTAGCACTGTTTCCTGACCGCTCAGAGAGCCCTCTGCAAGGGCAGCTCATCTCCCCATGAGGGAGGGAGAACAGGCCTCAGCTGCTTCTCCAGCTAACGTGCTTTAGAATCCGTTCTATCCAAGAAGGCTAGGGGAAGCAATTGTTGGATTCTCTTTTCTCATTTTCTTGCTCTCCTCCTGCTAACGCTCTCCCTACTCCCAATACCCCTGAGCTGTGCTTTTTGGGGGAAGAAAAGAAGGGACTCAGTGCCTGAGGAGCTTATGGCTGTTGGTGGTCTCTGGTTAAGAGTAAGAAGGGCCAGTGCTGCTACTATTTATTATTTCCTTTAAGGGCACCCTTGAGAGCCTGTTGGCTGGGTGGGGCACTTGGCAGGGGAAAGTCTCACTGTCGCCTCTTTTTACATAACTTATTGCATCTGCTTAGTGGCTATATATTCACTGTTTCTGTCTCTCTCTCTCTTTTTTTTTTTTTTTTTTTAGCAAATCAGTAGTTTGCAGATCCAAGTGACCTCACTGACCCGATCTGAGAATGAACTGCTGAATTCAAACCAAATGCTGAAAGAAATGGTGGAGAGGTTAAAGCAAGAATGCCGTAATTTAAGAAGCCAAGCTGAAAAAGTACAACTAGAAGTTGAAAAGTAGAGTTTGTGCTTCATTATGTATAATTTTCTCTATCTGATATACAATGTGTAGTTGTTTCAGAGATGACTGCAGCATCAAGTGTGTCTGTGTTTAGTTACAAATGCATTTGATAGTGTACAGTGGTCTCAGGTAATGTACTTTCCATTTGTATAAAATAAGCTTCATAGACTCTTTTTCTTTTTGATTTAAACACATGGCAAAGAAAGCCTTTCAAAGTCTGCCAGAGCAAATGATTCTGAAAATGCTCAAAGAAAGTCTCTTCTTCATGGAGCAAACCCAAATGTTTCTTCAAAAATCTGCTCTAAACACCAGAGAACAGAATGACTTGGTTGTGGGGTTGCTAGGTGTGTGTGTGTGTGTGTGTGTGTGTGTGTATAACTTGCTTCCTGGAATTAGAGCTAGTGTTTTGAATTTTACCTTTGGAAAAACTAATTGGTTTATTTTTGTTTGGTTTTTGGCTTTGAAATTTGTTAGTAGTATATAGGATAGTATACTGGTGGGGAAGTTATTTTGGTTATATTCAAGACCTTATATTCTCTGGAAAATCCTGCATGCTAGAATAAGGCTAGGGATGTAGCTCTGTGACAGAGAGCTTACTGGCACACAGGAGGACTTTTGACTCCACCTGTCCAATTAGTCGTATCAGTCAGGAGATGTGCTAGAATATTGTGCTGTTTCATATTTACTTTGTCTTTTAAACATATTACTGTACATTTCATTTATATCAAACATTTTCACATTTGTTCTTCTAAAGTTTTACCACATTTTTCCCCCCTTTGGATTTTTGTTGCTGTCGTTGTTGTTCCTTCATATGGTTTTCATGTATTGGGTTAAAGGAAGTAAGGAAGGTGTTTGTTCATGATGTTTAATGTTCCAGATAGCCTAATAATGTATTCTTTTGCAAAACAGTACAAATTTGTATCTTAGAATTCTTAAATGTTTTCAGATGAACTTAATTCTAACTTATCTAGAAAATTTAAAGAATTTATTATTGGTTTCTGGATGTTATTCATAGGCTTGTATAGAATAAAATAATTTGGGCTAGAAGTTAGTTGAGTGTAATTTTATTTTTTTGTCTTTTGAGATGGAGTCTCACTATGTACTTTAGGCTGGCTCTGAACTCCAGCTGATCCTCATGCTTCAGCCTCCTGAGTTCTGGATTTCAGGCGTGTACCACCATACTTGGTTAGAATGTAATTTTAAACCCAGCTAGCAAACTTGAATCTGCGTGACCTTAGGCATGTAGTCTAACTTGTCAGAGTTTATTTTCATTTGTACTGCCCAAAGTAAGGGTAGTAAGGATCATATAGAGTATGATAAAGAATGGCTTTAAATAGCTGTGAAGAATAGCTTTAAAAATGTTACTGTTTCATTATCTTAACATATCATTTATATGAATTTTACTCTAGCCAGAAAACCTCCATGGTAAGACTTGGTACCAGGCTTCATTTTTAACCAGTTTTATCAGGCCCAATTTTCATAGCTTGGTGGTTATTATAAGAGCAGGTTATTAACTGTTTGACCTGCCCTTAACTAGACCTGAGTCCTTTTGCAAGTTTGAAAACTTAGTTTGAAAACTGCTTAAAGCCGCCTCATTTTCTCTATCTGAAAAAAAGACTTAATAGAGAAGTACTTATCTTAGAGGGGTTTTGTGAAGACATAGTATGCATACTATTATGACGCAGTGCCTGGTTCACAGGAAGAGCTGCAGCGGTAGTGCTGGCAAGAGCAGCGTGCCTAGAGTTGGAAAAGGAAGGATATGGCCAGGCGTGTTGTGAGTTGGCCGGTACTTGTGATCATCTTCTTAATCCTGAGAGTTTACATGACTTGCACATATCCTTTTGACAGGACATTGGAAGAAAAACAGATACAGTGGTTGGAAGAAAAGCATAAGCTCCATGAACGTATCACAGACAGAGAAGAAAAGTATAATCAGGCCAAAGAGAAACTGCAACGAGCTGCAACTGCCCAGAAAAAGGCAAGAGATTCTTATCAAAATGATTTCTATAGAGTGAAACATATTTTAGGGGAATAAAAAAATGTAAGTGGAGCTAAGAGTTTCGTGACATGTTTAATTTGATATGTAAGCATTGTGTTTTACTGTGATGTTGCAGAAGTAAGTTGGGAAAATCCAAGCCATCCAGTAGGTTAATTTGTACGTTTTGTTTAGAGTAGACACACACTGATGCAGAGAGATGGTATTTTTCAGAGTAATTTGAAGTTTCCAGGCAAACCTACACACGTCTTAGCTGGCTGATTCTTCAGTTATGTCATAGTGTGGCTAGGCCTATGTTGAGTTTGCCTAAAATCTGCAATATTGTTTTTGTAGTGCAAAGGCCCTTTTGTTTCCAGCTCAAATGCAGGAGCAAGTGTCTCCTTGCTGCAGCAGTAAGACCTGGGGCTCTCCCTGGTTTCTGAAAGGGCCATGATAGTTTCCACCTTGGTCTTGTCCAAGTTGTGCCCCTGCGGGGTACTTTTCTCTATGACCTAAAGGCTTTGTTTTCTTAGAAACAGTCCTGTGCATCATGGAAATTGTGTGGCCAAATGATTCATTGAAGTCAGTGGTTTGCACTGTTTTTTTTTTTTTTAGCTTCAACAAACTCAGCAACGTAGTAGGTCCTATCAGAAACAGTGATTCTTGTGGTAGTGATTCAGCAGTTCTTTTCACAGAATTAGAGCGCAGGGAGGGGTGTGGGAGTGTGTCAGCTGGCCATGCCTCTGCTGAGCTCCATTCTTATGGATCTGGTTCTGAGGAGGAGAAAGGATCTGAGATGACAGGGAGCTAGCTGCTCCAAGGGATAGGCCCTGGTACCTTAGGATCTGTACGTTTATGTTCGCATAGGAAAAAATAACTCTAGATCATTCAGGTATACTTAGTTTGGAAGCTAAGGACACTGTTCCTAGATGTCATTTTATGTTATTGGATTTAACCAGCAAATGTGACTGACAGCGACAGCATGAGTAGTCTGAAAGGCATTATGCTGTGCTCTCCTGGCATATATTACTTTTCTCATAATGCCAAGACTAACATAATATTGAGATTAGAAAAACAATACTTGCTATGTGGAATCCCCATGCTTTATGCTCATATATAAGCACGTACTTGTTTTTTTCCTGTACACGTCACTTTCTTTCTGTCCATACACATGCTAGAAAGTGTGGGTGTGCATGGAATTTCAGTGAATGCTCTGTGTGTGTGATGGACGATCCTACTTATGCTCCCTTGCACTGTGCTCGAAGCCTAGAAGCATGGGAAGCCAATTTGAGACAGAAATTACAAGAAATTGTGAGAGCTGATTTTTATCTTCCACAGATAAACTTTTACGTTAATTTTTTTTATTTTAAGGAGAAAAAGAAAACAATAACAACAATGAAGACAAAAAACAAAACAATACAAAAACAGTGAAAACAATACAGGATTGTGAAACAAGATGATAGGAATTAACAATGGCTGTTATGTTAACGTTGAGATTTTAGAGATAATTATCTTAGAGATTAGATCCTAATTATCAAGGTTAGTTTGGGTTGACTTCTTTTGGAGCAAAAGTGACATCCAGTGGTGAGAGAGATTATCAGCTAATCATAGGTAACCCAGACCTGGGAGAGGAGGTGATATTTAAAAAACCTACAAAGTAACATTTTATCAGTATTGTGACATAGCATGAATGTTTTACTATGAGAATTTACCACATGATGCATAAAAACATGGTAAATATTAATTTCACTTTAAAAGTATGGATTATTATTTAAGTCATGGGAAATTATTAACTTCAATTTAGTGAATAACAATGATCCAATACCCCATATAGGGCGCTGCACCAAGACCTTACAGTTTTAGATCAGTGAAAGTGGAAAAACACTGTATGCGACATAGAAATATTATTAGAAAGTATACAAGTATGTATAATTTCAGGACTGGAAGGGACCTTACCATTGAAATAGCTTTTATGGATTAGGAAACTGTAGTGTATGTACCCAAGATCATTTAACTAGTAAGGATCAGAACCTTCACTAAAATCCTCATCTTTCTACTTTCACTCCAATCTTCTTTCCACTGCACTGTTACTGTTTAATTTCCCACTTTCGTTGATTTTAGGTATTTTATTACTTTTTTCTTTATTATAGCCGTGGCCCTGCAAGTCTTATTTCTTGTAGGAGAATAATCACTATAAATTAACTCATACCTTTTCCCACTTGAGTTAAAGATCATGCTGTAGTACAATGATTTCTCTTTAAGATTACATAAATAGAATTCATAAGTATATAACAGACATTTTTGGCTCTTTATTTAAATGACAAAAGTCATAACTGTCTTACACAGTAAGACTTAAAACATCACAAAATAGAAACCGTAGAGCAGAAATGATAACTCTTTCCTGTGAACAGTTCTTATAACTTGAGAGTTAGCCACTTAATGTTCCTGCCTCCCACCCCCAGGCTAGGTGAGTGCACTTAGAGCTTCACGCTCCTTTACACAAGGCTCCTGTCATTTCTGTAAGTATCTTCAGAAGGGGTCTGTGGTGTAGAAGATATTTTGTTGTATTGCTTGGTCTGAAGGGCTTGCCTGGGGGTTCCGGGTTGGGATGCCCATCTGTGGTGGACGACTTCTCCTTACTTCTCCTTCTCCATCCCCATTGTTAAAAGGTGAGTAGGAGAGAGCGCAAGGGTTGTTTCTCCTTGCGAGGCACTTGAAATGACAACTTGTTATTTTATTCTAAGATACACTTTTCTGAAATATCTCTTGGTCAGATACTGTTGTATTTTCAAAAAAGAGTTGAACCATAATCTTGAAGTTGCAAAATACCTTATTGAATATATTATGTGGCCAGTAGTGTGCCAGACACTGGGGAGAAAATAGAAGCCATCATTATTCCCTGTCTGTGATGACCATAATCTAGTTGGAGACATAAGGTAATGTACAAAAAATACCTAAAGACATAATAAGAATCACCGTGCACCAAAAAAAAAAAAAAAAAAAAAAAAAGAAAGGAAAGGAAAAAGTGCCTAGCATGATGGTGCACTCCTGTAATCCCAGCTCATGGGAGGCTGTGGTAGGAGGATCGCCTGAGTTCAAGGCCAGCGTAGGCTATAAAGTGTGAGTTCAAGGCCAGTCTGAACTGCAGAGCAAGACTCTATCTCAAACAAAACCTTGGAGACGGAGACCACCAGATAGGAAGTCGATATAGTAAACACAGAATGAGGTAAAAAGCCTAGATTTGGGCTTGGAGTATTGGAATGCAAGTGAAGCATAATTCCTAGAGGCATTCTGAAGGGAAAAAAACTACAGAAGATATTCTGGGTAGACACACACTGAGTAGAATGTGGGTGTGTGTGGTGTGTGTGGTGTGTGTGGTGTGTGTGTGTGTGTGGTGTGTGTGTGTGTGTGTGGCCTCAGCTATTCAGGAGGCTGAGGCAGGAGGATCCCTTGAACCCAGGAGTTTGGAGCAAGCCTAGGCAACATAGCAAAACTGTTTCAAACAAGCAAGCAAGCAAATAAACAAACCAAGAACACAATATATTGGTAAATAAGAAAGAGATGAGTATATTTGTCAGCTGAGGAGTGGAAAGAGTAGGTTTGACTAAACACATGTGAGATAAAATGATGGTTGTATATCCATGTAGATATGTAGTGGACTTCTAAGTAAAGCTTAGATAAATGGAATGAAAGGCATCAAGATGAGAAGTCAAAACAGAGATACATAAAACGAAATGAGATGAAGAATATAGGACAGAGTTGCATGGGGAAGAGGGTAGTCATAGAGGTCAAAGCTACAGAGCAGTATTATGAAGCCAAAGGAAAGGAAGGTATCAGAAATAAATGGTCATTAAACGCGGTTATTGAAAGGACTTAATTGGATTTGGCAGCAAAAGGGGGAAATGCAGCTTTGATTTTTATATCCATATTTTCAATTGTTCTATTATTCATTTGTGTCAGGTGCTTATAATACTAAGGTATCCATTTGGCGATCCTGTAATTGAATTGGACTGCTAATGTGGAAATGAAAATCATCCCTTTCAACGAGTTTTCTCTCTGCGCTTGGCATTTCTTTTAGTAGAAGTCATTCTTTGGTCACTTGGGCTCCATGTCTTGTGCTCATCCTGGGGGCTGCCTTTTCTCCAGACCTAGTTAGTTGTTGTATTCATTTCCTAGGACTCAGATACCAAAACTGTATGGGTTAAAACAACAGAAGTTTACTTTCTCACAGTTCTGGAGCCTGGAGATCTAAAATCCCCATGGCACCTGGCTCTGCTCCCTCGTGTGCTCTGGGGGAGGACCTTTTCCATGCACGTCTCCAAGCTTCTGGTGGCAGGATTCAGGGTTCGTGGCGATCAGCCAGCCTCTGCCTCTGTCTTTACATGGTCTTTTCTCTATTTGTCTGCACCTCTGTGTCCGGATTTCCCTCTTACGTGAGGACACTGGTTAGTCACACTGGATTTAGGGCCTACCATAGCTTGGAACAAGCTCATCTTAACTCAATTATATTTGCAAAGACCTTCTTTCCAAATAAGGTCACTCTGGAGTGTTTTCCAACACACACAACCAGTTTTCAATTTTCTGGACACCAACTGTGTGTTCAGCATTCAATCCCAAAACTCTCTACCAAAATTACAGTCAGATCTCACAATTTGTAGGGCTTAGTTCCACAAGACTGCTTTCCCTCAGATGCTAAGTATAAATCCAAGCCACCCAACTGGCTATGCATTAGTTTCCATGATCCCCTCCTCCTATGTGATAATTTCCTAGGTTAGCTCATAGAACTCAATAAAACACCTATGTCTACCATTTATTATAAAGGCTACAACTCAAGAGCAACTAAGTAGAAGAGATGTATAGGGGAAGGCATGGGGTGTGGCAGCTGTGTGTCAGTCCTGTGTTTTCTCGGGATGGGCCATTCACCCAGCAGGTCGGTGTGTTCATCAATACAGAAGCTCCCCAGACTGAATTTCATTGTTCAAGAGCTACAGAGCTCAGTCTCC